CAACTTAATAGCTTCCAGTGAACCTATAGCCTGTTCATTTTTGAAGTGCTTGTTTGATTTGTTGGGATACTCCAGGTATCTTGATGGAAGGTTGGAGGAAATGGAGAAGGAAGGGTTCATATCATGGGAAATGTGGTGTACATTTGCATCTCTTTATTATTTTGTTTAAAAGGTGTATTACCTTCAGTATAACAGCACACAACTGCCTTAAAGTCAGCTACATTGTATCTGTTAAATTCAAGAAGATGATAGATAGTAATGTTTTCCATTTATACAAAAGGAACCTTTCTTTTATTTAAAGAAATCTTTTTCATTTAATTTTCATTTCCATGTGCCTTTGTGCTTTAGTTCTAGCCAGCTGCTAGAAAGCTGACATACTGCCAAAGAGCATATTTTTGTATTATTTCTGGCCCGCACAGATTTAGGAAATACCAGCAGTTGCACTAAATCTGTTCTCATGAGAGAACCAGCACAAGTTTGCAAATGGAAGAGCTTATTATAAGAAACTAAACATTTGTTTGTTTATTTGAACTGCTAAAACTTTGGAGATACTCATCACAGAGCTGGGTACATACAGTTAAATCCGAATCTCCTTCTTTCTAATGGAAAGCCTGGACAATTTACACACCATCTTAAATAAAGCAATTGGAGAAGATTATGATGAAGCTGCCTTTACTGTCTCTGAAGAGGAACAATTTCAGCCCCTTCTCTCCTTAAAAGCATCCATGTTATTTAATTGAAAATCTGGAACTACATTTAGTGAACGCATTTGCAGCTGCCGTGGTATTACTGAAGGATGTTATAAGTAATGGTCATTCATCGAAATCACTAAACCCGTCAAAAGTGTTTAAATTTAAGGCATAATATGGTATCTAATGCTTGCTTGTATCTCAAGTACTATCTTGATATCAGCTGCATATATTTTTTTAATCTGTATTTAATCAACTCTTATCATCCTTCTTTTACTAGACATTTAAATTATATGTGGACTTGATCTGAGATTATTGCTATTCTGTACTGTGGTATTTTTTAATGTAATACCATTTCTTTCTTCACATTTTAATTTGTAAAATACAAGAATGTAATTGCAAGGTATAAACTTTCACTAAATTATATTACAAAGGTGCTTTAAGGAAAATATGTAAATTATTTAATTTAAATACTTATGTTTCATACTTTATCTTGTGAAGCGTTTTGTACAGTGAAGAAAGATTTATTCTTATGGGTAAGGATGATGGGCCTCAAGTTGAAGACAAGCTGCTATTTATTCCTCTGTGGTTTTTACTACTGTATCATTTGTGAGGAAGCGTCACAAATTCTGCAGCTTATTAGTATTTAGCATTGACAATTGTAACTAAATTTTAAAATACATTTTCACCTAAAACATTGACTTCCTTTCATTTCATGTTAATAGAAGTCGAGGTTGGAAAGAGTTGTAATTCGGAAATATTTAGAGTTAATATTATTAAGGTTTTAGCTCAAATTTCACCAATCCGAAAGGTAGATTGTAGAACACATTCATCTGTGCTTCACAGCAGAGTACTTCCTTTTACTTAAAAGTCTGAAAAGAAAGCTAAGAAGGGCTAGCCTCAACTAGTACTTCATATGCAGTTATTTTCTGGGAAACTGATTTGTGGCTTACTAGAAATAAAAGTGTGTATACATTATTTCTTGGTACTTGCAGTGAGGATGATCTTGTTTTTATAGATATATTTTAAAATAAGTAATTCGGCAGTGCAAAACAAAATATGCATAACTTAAGTTCCTTAAGTTCCCTTTTTCTTTCATTTTTCCCTATAGTTTTCTCTTTTTGGTTTTAAATATAGTCGAATTCAGAATCTGTCCATAGGGAATCTGCATCCTATGGTTCCGATCTGATTGTGTGTACAAACCCTTGCTAATTAATCCTGATACAGGAGCAAAGTCAATTACCTTTTTGAGGTATAACTTTTATCTTGCTGTATTCATAACATAAAAACTAGAACAAGCACAGCGTATTACAAATGTTCCACCAATGACCTATTTTTATTGAAATAGATTTTTGAAAGATTAAGTTGTACTTTCCAAAATTGCTACAGCTAAAAACTTTTTGTTTATTTAGTCATCATGCCGATACGCTGCACTGGTAGAGTATCAGCTTTCTATTAAGACTGTTTTATCAAATTATAAAAGTTATCCCAGACTTTCTTATCGTGGCCTACACATCTTCTGAATTACATAGGCAATAGTGAAAAAGCAGTAAAAGGGGCCATCAGCTGTGTCTTACTTTGTACTGTAAACATGTGATACGAATTCATTGTCACCAAAACCCCTCCCAGGTAAAGGGGGGGTTTGCTCTTTTGTTTTCCTAATTAGCTTACCCTGGATGAGTCTCTCTTTTTTTTTTTCTTTTCTCTAAAGGTTTTCCATCTGCTAAGAATGCTTTATCTTGACTTCCTTAACCTTAATTATGTTACTCTCTCTTGTCAGATTCTACTGCTGGGAAATATGTTTGAGCACAGAATTCCTCCTGCAAGGACCTAGATTGCAGATGCGTTGCTGTTGCCCAGCGGGGCCAGCTGCATACACAAAAGAGAGCCTAAAACGGTAGGCTGGGCCTAAGGGCTGCAAGATCTGGCATAAGATACTAAGTCACCCTAAGTATTTTGGTGTATTTTCTCAGGTTGAATATGCATGTACTGGAGTATCTGGTGTGGAAAAGATGGCTGCCTGATGATTAATGCAGAAAGTTACATGGCTTTCTTTGCAGTTGAAAGGAATATTGGTGACGCAGGAAAATACCAACCAAAATACTGGCATTATGTAAATATTATGCTCTACCTCCTAGCATAGGAGAGCCATATGAATGTTCAAAATTTGTGACGTGCAACAGGAACGGTAAGATCACTGCAGCAAAATTGCTGGATGAATCATATGCAAATAACGGCGCAGAGCGCAGGTCAAGTCCAGACTTCATTACCTCCGGCGTGCTCGCACGGCGCGGGTCCCTTTCACTGCACGATGCCTTGGGGCTGCCTTCGCGGACGCGGTGCCCTGGCCCCCTCGGCAGCCCCTCGGCAGCCCCTAGGCAGGGTTCTGGGCTGTGCGGGG